TTCTCAGATTCCATGCTTTGTCTGTGAGGCATTGCCTGATAATCTTATATCAGGGTTCCTCAAACTAAGGCCCGAGGGCCGGATGAGGCCCTCTAAGGTCATTTACCTGGCCCTCGCTCAGGGGCAACCTAAATCTGAAACGACTTAAAAGCACACAACGACAACAAGAACAAGAACAACAACAACAACCCTATCTCATCAGCCAAAAGCAGGCCCACACTTCCCATTGAAATACTAATAAGTTTATATTTGTTGAAATTGTTATTCATTTTAATTATTGTATTTTTAAGGGGGTTTTTTTTGCACTACAAATAAGATATGTGCAGTGTGCACAGGAATTAATTCACATTTTTTTTCAAATTATAATCCAGCCCTCCAACAGTTTGAGGGACTGTGACCTGGCCCTCTGTTTAAAAAGTTTGAGGACCCCTGTCTTATATCATCATAGGCTATTACTTGTGGCCAAGTATGATTGTCTTCCAAGTGTGGAGTCTTGATGGTGGGTTCACAAATAATTGTAGAGACCTGTTCTGGATCCGCATGGTCTTTCTCAATGAGGACATACATTTCCAGATGGAAGGCAGTCCTTGCAAGAGTTTGCTTGCCGTATCTTCCTTTTGCCCTCTGTTTGTGCTTCTTCAAAATTCACAGCATCGTTTGTAATAGCTGACCTCCAGTTAGAGCACTTACAAGCCAGGGCTTCCCAGTTCTCTGTGTTTGTTGTTGCTCATTCGTTCAGTTGTTTCCGACTCTTCGTGACCTCATGGACCAGCCCACGCCAGAGCTCCCTGTCGGCCGTCACCACCCCCAGCTCCTTCAAGATCAATCCAGTCACTTCAAGGATGCCATCCATCCATCTTGCCCTTGGTCAGCCCCTCTTCCTTCCATGTACCCCAGCATCATTGTCTTCTCTAAGCTTTGCTGTCTTCTCGTGTTGTGGCCAAAGTACTTCATCTTTGCCTCTACTATCCTTCCCTCCAATGAGCAGGCGGGCCTTATTTCCCAAAGTATGGACTGGTTGGATCTTCTGGCGGTCCAGGGCACTCTCAGAACTTTCTTCCAACACCACAGGGCATTCTTTAGTAATTCTCTTTTACTGTCACCTGATGGCCACTTTCAATATAGCAGTCCAGAATGTCCCCTCAGTTGATGGGTGTTTCCCATTGGGTATTTTATTTATCGTGTCAGGAGCAAGCCAAACAGTTGTATTGCATTTTTAACAAACAAAAATACAAAACACAAAGTTTATAATAATAATAATAATACTTTATTTGTACCCCGCTACCATCTCCCCAAGGGCCTCGGTGCGGCTTACATGAGGCCGAGCCCACATACAACAATACAAGCAATAAAACAATAAAAGTAATTAAAAAAAACATAGACAATAAAATATACAACATTATCAATAAGACAGCACACAATTAAAAACAGTGGGAAGGCCAAATGTAAAATTAAAATTGGAAGTGATGCTGGGACATGGACGAAAAGGTGATAGTGGTGTTTGTGGAAGGGCATACGAGCAGACCTAAAGAAATGTAAAGTGCTTTGGAGGACAAAGTGCTATGGGATCATTATTCCGGGAAGGCACACTGGAACAACCACGTCTTCAAGCTCCTCCTGAAGACTGCCAGAGTTGGGGCCTGTCTGATGTCTTTAGGGAGTGAGTTCCAGAGTTGACGGGCCACCACCGAAAAGGCCCTCTCTCTCGTCCCCACCAATCGTGCCTGCGAGGCTGGTGTGATCGAGAGCAGGGCCTCTCCGGATGATCGAAGGGATCATGTGGGTTCATATATGGAGATGCGGTCACGCAGGTAGGCAGGTCGCAAACCGTTCAGGGCTTTGTAGGTAAGAACCTGCACCTTGAATTGGGTCTGGTAAATGAATGGCAGCCAGTGAAGCTCATTGAACAGGAGGGATGGCCGCTCCCTGTAAGGAGCCCCAGTTAACAACCTGGCTGCTGCCCGTTGGATCATCTGGAATCTCCGGGCCGTTTTCAAGGGCAGCCCCACGTAGAGTGCATTGCAGTAATCTAGTCTAGAGGTGACTATGACCTGGACTGTGACCTGGCTCTCTGTTTAGAAAGTTTGAGGACCCTGACTTGCAGGATAAATATGTTTTTCAAGTTTTTTTTCTCTCTCACTGTCACCCTTAGAACTCCAAATTGCTTGCAATTACAATGTGAATTAACACATTCCTTATGAGAATGGAGAGAATGGGATCCCATTATGATGTCTACTTAGCAATAACCTGGCCATGCTAGACCTGTCCAGCAGGTTACTGAGATTTAATCAATATACCCTTTGGCCAGAATCACAAGACTGGAAGGGACTTCCAGCAGACCATCCAGATGCAACACCTAGATTATCAAATTCCCCTCCAGGTCTCAAAATCCTTCACATCTCCAAGGACTCTTGAGACCTGGAAGCTGTAGAATACAAAAAAACCCAAAACCCAACCTCTGCATTAAGCCTTTCTAATGCAAAATGTTTTAGAAATGGGCTCTTCACTGCCAAGTTCCCATACCAAGTGTATTTCTTTTCACCTTGGCAGCTTGCCATATCGCAGCAGCCTCAAGCACATAGGAATATTTATAAGGACAGGGAGAATTGTATATTTTGGAAATGGTTTGCTTCACGTAGGAAAGTGTCTTTGAATGTGTAATAACAACAGCGAAAAATATTTTAATCTGGAAAACCACTTCGAAAACTAAGTGGCAATTTTTTATTTTTTTCGACATCGCAGGAGTTTAAATTGCCAAGCAGGAGTCTTGTTACAAAAACCCACATTGCCAAAACTCCATGTAACAATAAATACTTTTTTAATGCAACACATATATTCGTCTTCAAGATGCTGCAGGAGTCTGTTTTTGTCATTTTGGATAGTCATACTCAATAAGATAACTACAGATAGCTCTCATCTAACAAGACTACATTTTTTGAGTCAAGATTATGAAGTATATATTGACATTATGAGATGTTATAGATCGAAGCCAAGCACAGTATGAATATAGTGATGCTGCAGTGTTTAAATCATATTTCTGACTATCTATAGATACTAGGCGCTCCATGCAGTCATGCCGGCCACATGACCTTGGAGGTGTCTACGGACAACGCTGGCTCTTCGGCTTAGAAATGGAGATGAGCACCACACCCCAGAGTCAGACATGACTGGACTTAATGTCAGGGGACTACCTTTACCTTTACCTTTATAGATACTAGGAGCCCCCGGTGGCGCAGTGGGTTAAAGCACTGAGCTGCTGAGCTTGTTGATCGAAAGGTTGCAGGTTCGATTCCAGGGAGCGGCGTGAGCTTCCGGTGTCAGTCCTAGCTTCTGCCAACCTAGCAGTTCGAAAACATGCAAATGTGAGTAGATCAATAGGTACCGCTCCGGCGGGAAGGTAACGGCGCTCCATGCAGTCATGCCGGCCACATGACCTTGGAGGTGTCTACGGACAACGCTGGCTCTTTGGCTTAGAAATGGAGATGAGCACCACACCCCAGACTCAGACATGACTGGACTTAATGTCAGGGGACTACCTTTACCTACCTTATAGATACCAGTTCCTGGATACTATATCTTTGTTACAGTCTAACATGACTAATATAGGAATCCCAAGGTAGTAGTCATAATAATAGTTAGGGAAGGGGAGATAAAACTGGAATAAACTAACTACACTATGGAGGTGTGTGCTTTCCACCTACGCAACCGTGAAGCCAACAGGAAATTGAAAGTCACCAGGGAAGGTCAAGAGCTTGAACATTGTTTCCATCCTAAATATCTTGGTGTCACCTGTTGTGCCACCTCTACAAAGTTCTGGAGAGACTTATTTTGCATAGAATAATGGAAAAAAATATACCCATGTCAGGAGCGGCTCAACCCATTACGCAAAGTATGCATTTGCAGTATAGTTGATTTTGCCCAGGGGCGCTCTTGAGGTACTCTTGGGGGAAAATAGACATTGACATATGGAAGTTGTAGTTACTGAGATGCATAGTTCACCTACAATCAAAGAGCATTCTGAACTCCACCAGTGGTGGAACTGAACCTAATATGGCACACAGAACTCCCACAACGAACAGAAAATATATATCAGTGATTAGTTGGGGGGGGGGGGGGCGGCAAAATACTGTTTGCTTACCGTTGAAAAATATCTAGGGCCACCTCTTCCCATGTCTGATTCCACAGCAAACTGGCTTCAGGAAAGGCAAAAGCTGCACATCGCAAGTCCTGAACCTGAGTCACCACATAGAAGATGGCTTTGAAAGGCAGCAAATCACAGGAGCTGTCTTCATAGACCTGTCAGCGGCTTATGAT